CCTGTGCTGATAGCTGCAAACAAACACAAACCTCTGTTCTCAACCATCACATACGTTTGCCTTATTAAAACAAATAAGGGAAAGTGGAAAAGTATCTGTTCTGCCTGACTGAGAGATGCAAATTTTATATCTAAATATATATAAATATTTTTTCTATTTCAGAGGGAATTTTAAGGGGCCCCTTCTATGGCTGTGACAGTGATAAGGTGTTGCAAAGTATTTGCATGGCCATAAGTCTGTAGAAAGGCAGGTGCTTATGGTCATCAGCATGCAAAAACAGTGGAACACAAAGTAAAAGTCTCGTTGTACTTTAAAAATATATAATATCTACTATTTTCCAATGGCTGTCCTGTTCTGTGTCAGTGAGACAGCCCAGACTTCTCATAACCATCCTGTCCCATTCTGTTTTGTGGGGGAGACTGAATATTCTTGGGGCTGTTTGTGCATTAGGTGGTTGTTGTATATATAGCTGTGTGTGCTGGCTGGGTTGAGTATGGAAAAGGTGTGTGAAGTCAAGAGTGGCCAGCCCAAGTCCTGCCGAAACACCAGCCTGGGAAGATGTGGTCATTACAGCTTTACTTTCTTTTCACTCAGCCCCAAGGAGTCCGTTTTTCACACCGAAATAGTTTCTCTGCTTTCTGTCAAGGACATGGAGTATCAGAAATTCTGGCATTAGGTCGCTGAAGGGCGGGAGCTGTGGTGGGTGAGGCAGCAGGGGCGGCCGCAGCTTTGCTGCTCAGCTGTGGAAAGGGGCTTTCTTGCAAAATTTCCACTCGCCCCCTCTCTTCATCTTGTCTCAGGGGAGTCGCCAGCGTTGTAACCAAGCACCAGCAGCATTTCCGGGCTTCCTGACGAGTCAGCTGGGGCAGTCTGGGGAGGAAGGGGTCAGGTCTGGGTGTCCTGCTGGCCTTTGGTGGACCAGGGGAACTGGTTCTCCCACACCCGCCCTGCGTCACTCCTTGGCTGCCCTGGGCTGAGCCTCACCCCTGCACTGTGTGATCCTACTCTGCACTGAACTCCTCTGAAACACAGCCTCCAAGCAGGACAGTAACAACAACTGTGAAGAGCAATAACAATTTCTAGTGTGAATTTCTTGGAGTAATCATGGCAACCTTGGACATAATTTTGTTTGAAAATGTGTTTGACTAATCATGAAGGAGGAGGTATTTGATCTCTTCCTCCTCAAAAGTAGCTGCTCAAACTGGCCTTTGTGTTTGTGAGATTGTTTTGGTTTTGTTTTTGTTTTTTTCCTTGAGATCCAACAGAAACCTGTTTATTCTGGTGTACTTTCCTGGGCAGATGCTTAACAATTTTCAGTCAAGGTCTAGCTTCATCAGCACAATGGACATTTCTTGTTGTACTTCTCTTCTAAAGAAGCTTCCTCTTAGATCTAGGATTGGGCTGAAGGTTTTGTGATGTTGAGGTGAAAAAACCCTCCACCAGATATTTGACCTGCCTTAAGTACTGGGAAGGCTTGAGGAGAGAGTTCTGACTTACGTTCCGATGTATTTTTCATCTTTGCTTTCAAAGTTTGTCTGTGGGACTCATCTGCAAAAATAAGTCAGGGAACAGATCATTATCGGCGATACCTTCCACTCCTGAGTGACCCTGCTCTTCAGAGTTCTTCACTTTGAATTAAAAACCATAGGTGAAGTCGTGGCTGCACCTCAGTTTGTGGGCCAAAATGGCAGCTTGCTGTAAGTCAGATCTTTACCCAAAGTCTTCTCGTTTTACCTGAGCCCATTTCCTTTTTCTACTTGGAAGCAGAAGTTTGGAAAGCAAAATAGACCTCTTGCTGGCTGTGTTTTGTCTCTGGACAGAAACCAGGCAGTCCTGAGTACTGCAATAAAACCTGCTGTGAAAGTGCTTTATATTTGATGTCCTTGAACTCAACGCTGGACCCCATGATGTTTGATTGCTGTTGTGGAGCTTTGCTAGTCCTGGCTTTAGGGGACTTCTGTGAATTGGCTTCACAATCTATTTTTTTTTTTTTTAATTTGTGGTAGCCCTTCACTTGCAACACGGTTTTTCTTAGTTCCCCGCAGTTGGTCTGTTTAGCATTTCCTGTGCTGCTTCCTTTGCGTGTTGAGCACGCTGGAAATGGGTAGAAAATGGGGAATATGAGTGAGAGATGAAGAATGTGTCTGTTGTCTAAATCGATTGCAGATGGATAATGGAAATACTGAGGGATTATTTTCTGTCAGACACCCTGTAGGAAGATTAAATTATGGAGGAAACTGTCTTTATAAGTACAAAACTACTTGTGGAGGCCGGGACCAGAGGTTTGCAGAAGAACAGGGCTGTCCATTCTCTGAAGATGAACACTCTAATGTTTATACATTCACTAAGTCACAAGGCAGTTTAGTTGTGCACCTTTTGACACGACATTGCTCCCCAATGCAGATGACTGATTTACTTGCCAAGGACATTGTTTATCCCATTTTGTACCGCAGCTGTTCAGTCTTTGCTGCCTTTCCTGTGATTTTGGGGTACAAGCACAGTGGCTGGAAGCATCACCATGTTGTGTCTGTGATCATGGTGGAGGAGCTCTGGGGCCCAGGATGTGAAGCTGCTGGAGAGAGTCCAGAAGAGGCCATGGAGATGCTCCGAGGGCTGGAGCCCCTCTGCTCTGGAGCCAGGCTGGGAGAGCTGGGGGGGTTCACCTGGAGAAGAGAAGGATCCAGGAGAGCTGGAGAGGGACTTGGGACAACGGATGGAGGGACAGGACATAGGGAATGACTTCCCACTGCCAGAGGGCAGGGTTAGATGGGATATTGGGAAAGAATTGTTGTCTGTGAGGCTGGTGAAGCCCTGGCACAGGTTGCCCGGAGAAGCAACTTTGCTTCCTTCTCTGTGGCTGTCCTTGCCCAGACGGTGCTAATTCAGAACAGAGAATAGGTGGATGTGCATCCAGCCTTTCAGGCCAGAAATACAGGATATACTTTGCTCTTTTTGTGCAGTTTAAGGCCAAGCAGGATGGAGGTGCTGTGTCCCCAGCCCCAACTTTAGTGCTGCTGCCACTTTTGAGTTCAGGAACACAGTGTTGGAGGAGGAGAAGCTGAGGCTGCTCCTCCTGGACACCTTGCTCCTCTGGTGAAGTGAGAAGGCAGCGGTGCCTTTTGAGGTAAAGTGGTCTCACCCTTTCCCTGCATTCCTGAAAAGGGGTGGGAGGAAGAAGCCTGGGTTGCTCTACACCTGCAGACAGGGAAATGGGAAAGATTTTCCTCAATGAGAGGAAATTTTAGGAACTGCTTTTAATCATTAGCACCACTTGAAAACCCAGTGCATGTGGAGAAGAAAAACAAAAACCCCCTGAGAACTGGCGATCCTGTTCCTTTTCCTGATATTATTTGTAGATGACCTGCTGCATGAACCCCAGCACAGCAGGATCTTGCATGGCATGTACTAAATGTCTCCAAGGGTTAGTTTGATCCTGTTTTCACCACTTAGTGCATATGATTCCAGTAATTCTGAGGTACAGGCATCACCCAGGAATGCGACAGTGTGGGATGGGAGCTGTCTGAAACAAAGGATGTTCCTGCACTTGGAGTTAATTGAAGGGCAGGCAAGAGACTAGGCTGGAGGGGAAAGAGCTAAACAAGGTAAGGGAATTAGTCCTAGCTCCAGCATGAGGAGTGTTTGATTTAATTAAAAGGTACAGTGCTGGGGAAGTAATGAACTGTTCCAGAGCTAGACGATGAAGTCGTGCTGTGGCCTGTTGAAAACAGACTGGTTTCCCTCAAGTTTCCAGAATGTGAATATGGATGGTGCTTCATTTTACTTGTGCTGCAGGATTATAGAGGGTAGATGAGCTTTCCTAACTCTTGAGAGGTTTTTTTATGCCATTGACGAGGTTTGGCAGGGCATGGCTGAGTCTTTCAGTGTTATTTCCAGGCCTCTACTGTGGATAAAAGTCTTCAGTCTCCAGGGTGTCACTGGTGTGCATTGGCCTCAATCAGCAAAACATCCTTCTGAGGGAGAGATTAATTTAGAGGCTGCAGAAATTTGTTTCCTGCAGGAAAAGGAGGGACCATGTTTTGCTGAGACCAGTGGTTTGCCTTAGTGGTTAATGCTGTTGACAGAGTGAGAAGGATGAATTTTTCTCAGGGGGAAAAAAAAAAGCCCCAAATCCACAACACATCCCCCTGAAGGTGTCCAAGGGAGGCCTGGATGTGGCACTCAGTGGGGCTGGGTGACAGGGTGGGGATCGGGCACAGGTTGGACTCGATGGTCTTGGAAGGCTTTTCCAACCAAAATGATTCTGTGATCCTGTAAGTTGATTCCTGCAAATGCAGCATAGGGTGGGTGACCTTGAGTGTAGTAGCAGCTAACCAAGGCAACACCAGCCACCTGGATGATAGAAGAAGAAAATATTAAAGCAAAAATATTGTGGTCCTGAGTGAGCCAGAGCTAAGATTAGTATATGTGTGAAAAGAATCGCAAGGTCAAGCTGGAAAGCTGCTTTTGAAGCATGATTGTTCTTTGTGGCTGAAGGCAGCCACGGGAGTGTCTGTGTGGAATGTGTGCAGATAAGTAACACCTGGCCTGGCTTGATAGCTCGGACCCTCATTCTGTATAAAAATGGAGTAATAAAGTTACAAGAGAGCTCTGCCTGGACAAAGTCTGTCTCCCGTGGATTCATTCGCCCAAAAGGGTGCTGAGTGAGGGACCTTTGCCGCACTTGGGTAGGCAGTTTGAGCTTGGCCTTCTGCAGAAACACTGCCTGATACGTGTTGATAGACTCCAGCATTTCAGCTCGGCTAAAGAGGTGCCTTATTAAGTAGAGGAGCGATCCAGTGAATTTTGTCTTCTCTGTGTTCAAGTTTGAATGGGTAGCTAGTTTGGTCAGTAGTTTCAGACGCAGCATTTTTTTTCCCTCTTCTTTGCACGCTGTAGTCGCTAGTTCTAGAGTTGCAATATAAATTGCACTATTGCAGAACGACACGTGTTTACTTTCCTGGGCAGATGCCTAACAAAAAAAACAGCTAATAACTTTCTTCCCTTGCGTTTCAGGCGGCAGCAGCGGGTCTGAGCTATGTTGGGGCGTACGTCATTAACACCTACAAGAGCTATGACAACTTCCTGCAGGACAAGTACGCCGTGCTGCCCGCCGTGATCATCATCTGCGTGGCTGTGGTGATGTTCGTCATTGGGCTCATCGGCTGCTGCGCCACGTTCCGGGAGTCTCGAGTTGGTCTGGGGCTGGTGAGTGTTGCACGTTCTTGAGTGTCTTCTTCTTCTTCACGCCGCTGCATGGTGTGGGAGGTGCTAGGCTAAACCTTGGGATGCAGGAAACAGAAAGTGAGACATTATTGGGACGTACACCACTGAAGCACTGCTCGTTTGCGTGAGTTGTGTACTGCTGTGACACACTGACTGATGGTGAGTGAGGCACAGCCTGAATTATTAGTGACACCAATGCCCTCTGGCGTGGACAGTCTCATGACTCTGCCTCTGATGAAGAGGAGTCTGGAAAGCACTGAGTTTTGAGAAGGTTTGGGTTGGAAGGGACCTTAAATATGTTGTTCCACCCCTCCTGCCATGGGCAGGGACACCTTCCACTAGATCAGGTTGCTCCAAGCCCTGTCCAGCCTGGCCCTGGACACTTCCAGGGATGGGGCAGCAACAGCTTCTGTTCTAAATTATTTTCTGTAAAGTACTTTGGTTGTGGAGGCCACAACAGATAACAATAACTTACTGCTATAAACTAATGTGAAGAGTAATGTGCAGTTGAATTCAAATGCTGTGGAATTCTTCCTTACAGTCTCTCTCTTGTATTTGCAGTTCTTGGCCATTATCCTGGTTATCTTTATTGCAGAGGTATCCGCTTTTGTCCTGGGATTTGTTTACAGGGAAAAGGTAAGCAAAGAATTAGCATCTCTCTCTCAACCTAAAAGTAAAGAAAAGCTCTTGCATTGTTGGATCATTTTTAATATATCCAGTTTTCTGGTGCTTCATCTCCTATCCTGCAACCTGCGGAGCAAGTGGAACCAGCAGGGGAGACAAAATATGATTCTGGTTCAGTGTTACCTGAATTTTATCCACATAGCTTGGTATTTGTTTTTGTTGGGACAAAGATCTTTTGCATTTTCTGCCAGATAAAACTCTTATGGCTCATGTTAAAACCATCTGCATATTTTTTTCTTTCTTTAAATAGGTAAAAACTGACGTGCAGGGCACGATGCGCTCGGTCTTTGAGCAGTATGATGGGAAAAACCCAGAGTCTACAGTTGTGGATTACTTGCAGGAACAGGTAAGAAAGTATTTAAATTGTCCTGGGAGTTATTTGGAAAAGAACAGTTGGGTCCTAAAGAAGGAATTTAGGCTGGAAAAGGAGGGGAGGAGATGTCTGGGGTGGTATCCTGGAACTCGGCTCTGTGTTTAGCATCTGGTTCTCCAAGGCAGCTGAGGGTGCTCCCCACTTTGCAGAGGTGATGTTTTCAGGCTCCTGGTGTGAAGTTCACATGGTGAATGATTGTGTTGACAGAGTGGCATTTGGATCAGACCAAATAAGCAGTACAAATGAGTAACTGCTGCTGAGAACACTGCCCCACGAAACAGAAAGGTGACAGAAGACTCTGTCCTGCAACTTGTCACTTTCATATTGGAGCTTTCACAAAGAGTAAACCATGAAGGATGTAATGATGTATGAAAGGAGGTTGATTTATTGTATTTGTGATTGTTTTCCTGAAGCACTGCTGCTTGTAAATCTGCTGCATACGAAGGGCACCTCTGGTCCACTATGCCTAAGAGAGGCTTAACTCAACATGAACCTTCCTATATATATATATATATATATATATAATCAATATGAATAAATGTAATACATATATTCATACATCCCTGTAACTGCCCTGTATTTGGCAGCTTCACTGCTGTGGGGTGAAGAACTACAGTGACTGGACGACCACACAGTGGTTTAATTCCACTGGGAACAACAGTGTCCCTCTGAGCTGCTGCCAGCAGGATGTGAAGAACTGCACAGGGCATCTGGATCAGCCACAGGAGCTCAACACTCGGGTGAGGATGAGGGGCTGGGGGTCACTGCTGGGCCACGATCACTCTCAGCCAGCAGGAACCACGGAGGAAAGCACATCACGCTTTAGGGATATGCCCACAGCTGTCTGGGCCAGGGGAGGAGACTCGTGTAGGATTGACCATGCTGAATCTGGAGGATGAAGATGCTCCAAGGGCTGGAGCACATCGTGGTGGAGGCAGGCTGGGAGAGCAGGGGGTGTTCAGCCTGGAGAAGAGGAGGCTCCAGGGAGACCTTGGAGCCTCTTCCCATGCCTAGAGAATACCTGTAAAGAAGATGAGATCAAACATTTTAGCAGGGTCTGTTGTGATAGGACAAGGGGTGATCGTTTTAAACTAAAAGAGGATCAATTTAGGTTAGATATAAGGATGAAGTTTTTTACAATGAGGGTGGTGAGACACTGGCACAGGTTTGTCCAGAGAAGCTGTGGCTGCCCCATCCCTGGGAGTGTCCAAGGCCAGGTTGGATGGGGCTTGGAGCAACCTGGAATAGTGGAAGGTGTCCCTGCCCATGGCAGGGGGTAGAACAGGATGATCTTTAAGGTCCCTTCCAACCCAAACCATTCTGTGATTCCATGAACTCCATAGGAGGTTTTCCAGTCTGGAGAAAAGCCCCTAGGTTGAGTTTTACAGATACCATTCCTGCTCTTCCTGTTTTTGCGTTTTGGGCACTTCCTTAAGTGACCTGAGCTAGAGGAGATTGGGAAGCAGCAAATGTCAGTGGATTGTGATTTGTCAGTGCTTCTCCTCAGGCCATCAGGTCTGGAAGACAAGAACAGAGTCCCTCGGGTCTGCAGTGGTTGATTAGGCAGGTCTTGCTTCCTTTAAGGGGTTGGGGAGGAAAAGAAAGAAAAAAAGTCCAGCTGAATTAACATCATTTAATAGGTTTTCACCTCCCTCTTTCCTGGCAGGGCTGTGCAGAGGAGCTGGAGTCTGGGCTGCAGAGCGTTATCAGCTATGCCATGCTCGTGATCCTGGGGTTCGCCATTGTAAAGGTAAATGTTTCTGTCTCCTCCCTCATGGAAAACAGTACTGCCTGCCCTTTGATCTTGGGGCTTTTTCTTCTGCCATGTCCCATCAGCCTTTTTTCTGGCTCTGAAGTAAGACTCTGTTCCTCACTTGTGTTTCCAATTGTCTCCATTCCATCTGCCTAACAATGAGGGGAGGGATCCAAAGAGATAGTAGGGGATTTGGGATGGCAAGTCAATGGAGAATCCATTTCATCATAGTATCATAGAATGGTTTGGGTCGGAAGATTTTAAAGATCTTCCAGTTCCACCCCCTGCCATGGTCAGGGACACCTTCCACTAGCCCGGGTTGCTCCAAGCCCCATCCAACCTGGCCTTCAACACTTCCAGGGACAGGGCAGCACAACACAACTGTGCCAGGGCCTCCCCACCCTCACAGACAGCAATTCCTTCCCAATATCCCATCTAACCCTGCCCTCTGGCAGTGGGAAGCCATTCCTCTTTGTGCTGTCACTCTGTGCCCTTGTCCAAATGCATGCTTAAATACTTTGCAGAACTCACTTTTTAAGTCCAGAATAACCCCAGGCTTTCACTGAAAGATAACTAGGAATTAATGTGGATGTGTAAATTAATGGGGGAAACCAGGGAGGAAAATGTTGAGCTGGAACTGTTACTGGAAATTGATATGCAAAAATGCCGCTTTCTGTAGATGTATTTCTAAGTGTTTTTTCAGTATGATGGAGTCCTCTAATATACAGGTGTTGAGTCTGGTGACTGAAACAACAAACACAGCACTAAATCTCTTGGGCACTCTCTCTTCCCAGTTCTTTGGCATGCTGAGTGTCTGTGTGCTGACTTGCAAGAAAGAAGAAAGTGGATACCAGCCTCTTTACTCGGGGGTGTTTGCTTAATAAAAGGCAAAGATCAATTTTTCTTTTGCTTCCTGATGACAAAATAGACTCGTGACCATACCACAGCTTGGATTTGTGACTTCAGATAGCACCAGATGGTGTTACAGACTCCAGAAAGAAACGTACTTCTGCCCTTCTTCCCTCTGCCCTGAAAACAGAAACGTGCAGCAGAAACTTTACATTTTAATCACTAGACTGATGGAGACTGCAGGAGGGGTTTCAGTTATCTGCACAAACCTCAGATCATTCCCCTGGCGAGGTTTAAACAGCAAAAGAAACTTTAGAATGCCAGGCTTAAATATGCTTCATAGACATGGGGATTTGTAATATGTTTTCTCTATATCTGTACAGTTGTGCAGTTTGTTTTTATTTTTTTTTCCCCTCTTTCTTACGGTCATTTGTTGTAATGCTGTTTACTGCAGAGGCTGTTAGTGCAAAACAACCCTGTGTTTAAAGTCTAGAACAGACATTTGGGTTGTTTTTTGAAGCAGCTATCAAATGTGAACAACCCCAGGTTAGGAGGGGATGTGTGTTTTGAGCTTCTGGGCTCAGAACATCTCTGTTTGCCTTATTTTTTATCTATTTCTTAGTTATTGACATTAAAAAAAATTTTTACCTCCTTTTACTGATGCTGTTATGGTTTGCCTACACAAAGACAGACTGTGTCAGTCCATTTAATGTGGGAGTTGTCAGAGTTAGGGGATGAATCCAGCATGGAAGATGGGAGTCACAGGACATGTTGTCTCCACGTGGTTGTGTAGATGGGACCGCTGGAGGGGTTAGTGCTGCTTTCACTGTCCCATGGAAGCTTTGACCACCTTTCTCCACTAGAAAATGTTTAAAAGATGCATTATTTTACAGAGCAGTTTCAATAACCTGCTGTAGCTCTGCATTCGCACATTTTCCTTTTTCCTTAATTCCACTGGATGCGGTCACTGTGTGGATTTAACATGGTCCTTGCTTTAGTTCTTTAACTTGTTTCTACGTTAATCTGTTTATCAGCTCTTAAGGATTTGGGGAGGGCGGGAACTATCATCTGTTCTGTATCAGGGAATTGTGGAAAAGCAACACAATTTTTGCCTTTTTTTTTTTCCCCTTGGAGAGATAAGCAGCCTGTCCTTACCAATAAACCTTTATATTTGTAGCTAATTAGAAAAAATTAGTTCGGGGTAAGTCTAAACTGTTATCTCCATCCCTACCCCGAGAAAGAAAAAAAGCAACGGGTGACGTTGTTCTATGGGAAACAGACCATGTATATGTTGAAAACTGACTTAATTGTTATTGAGGGCTCTCTCTTCTGTTGAATGCCGAAATAAACTGAATTTGTGTAATCAAGTAAAAAACGTGGTGGGTTTTTGTTGGTTCCTGGCGGGGGGAGAAGGTCTCTGGGGTGCAACAGGAGCGGGCGCCCCTCACGGCGGCCTCAGCCACGCCGCCTCCCTTCCCTGCTCCCCTCAGCGATCCCACCTTCCCTTCCCTGCTCCCCTCAGCGATCCCACCTTCCCTTCCCTGCTCCCCTCAGCGATCCCACCTTCCCTTCCCTGCTCCCCTCAGCGATCCCGCTCCCTTCCCTGTTCCCCTCAGCGATCCTGCCTTCCCTTCCCTGCTCCCCTCAGCGATCCTGCCTTCCCTTCAAGCTCCCCTCAGCGATCCCGCTCCCTTCCCTGCTCCCCTCAGCGATCCCGCTCCCTTCCCTGCTCCCCTCAGGATCCTGCCTTCCCTTCCCTGCTCCCCTCAGGATCCTGCCTTCCCTTCCCTGCTCCCCTCAGCGATCCCGCCCCCTTCCCGCTCCCCTCAGCGATCCTGCCTTCCCTTCCCGCTCCCCTCAGCGATCCCGCCTTCCCTTCCCTGCTCCCCTCAGCGATCCCGCTCCCTTCCCTGCTCCCCTCAGCGATCCTGCCTTCCCTTCCCTGCTCCCCTCAGCGATCCCGCCTTCCCTTCCCTGCTCCCCTCAGCGATCCCGCTCCCTTCCCTGCTCCCCTCAGCGATCCCTTCCCTTCCCGCTCCCCTCAGCGATCCTGCCTTCCCTTCCCTGCTCCCCTCAGCGATCTTGCCTTCCCTTCCCGCTCCCCTCAGCGATCCTGCCTTCCCTTCCCTGCTCCCCTCAGCGATCCCGTTCCCTTTCCTGGTCCCTTCAGCGACCCCGCCTCCCTCCTGGCTCCCTTCAGACCTCCCGCCTCCCTTCCCGCTTCCCTTCTCTGCTTCCCTCCGCGATCCCGCCTCCCTTCCCTGCTCCTCTCAGAACTCCCACCTCCCTTTCCGTTTCCCTCAGCGATCCCGCTCTTCTCTCCCTGCTCCCTCAGCGATCCCGCCTCCTTTCTCGCTTCCCTCAAAGTTCCCGCCTTCCCTCCCCTCTCCCTTCAGGGATCTCGCCTCCCCTCCCTCCGCCTCTCGGAGCTCCCGCCTGCCTTTCCCGATTCCCTCAGCGCTCCCGCCTTCCGCCCTTCTCTCCCTGCTCCCTCGGCGCTCCAGCCTTCCGCCCATCCCTTACCGCCCTCCCGCCCTTTCCTGCTCCGAGCTCCCGCCTTCCCCCCCTTCTCTCCCCTCCCGCTCCAATCGAGTTGTCTTGTCCCCGGGCTGAATTTCCTCGCCTTTTGCAAACGTAACTAACGGTGTCAGATAAGTTCTGCAACAGCAGTTGCTTAATGAAGGAAAGAACTTCTGTGTTTCAAGCAGCGCGTAGGATTACATCATCCAAATAAATATGCATCAGGCAGGCGGAGACTATGTATTAGGAGGGCGTGTTCATGTATTTTTTACTATATAGAAGTAACTTTTTACGCTTTGGCGGCTTTTGTGGAAACCTCCGCCTTGCACCCCGCGCAAGAATAAACAGTTATGTCCTTTCCAAACCACACTGCGTGTCTTTAAGGAGCTCCTAAGAGGCGCTCCCGCTCCCCTCGAGAGCTCTCGCCCTTCCCTTCGCGCTCCTCCCTCCTCAGGGAGGACGCTCCTCCCTCCTCCTGCCGCGCACGCGCCCGCCCCGTCCCGCCCAACGCCCGCCCGAGCGCGGGCGGATTCGAACGGCACCGCCCGCGGGATCCGCTCCCCGCGTCCCGCCGCTCTCCCCGCGTCCCGCCGCTCTTCCCTCGTCCCGCCGCTCCCCTGCTCCCTCTCCGGCCCCCGCGGCGCCCGGAGCGGGGGTGGCACCGGGGGAAGCCTCGCGCTGGGTCCCGCGCGTCGTGAGGAGAAACGGGCGCTGCCGCGGCCGCCGCCGCCTGTGGCAGTGACCTCGGTCCCCCCTCAGGGCGTCCTTGATCCTTCCCAGTATAGCGGCTTCCCTCAGGTATGGAGCGCGGTAAAAGCGGCGGGTGTGTCTAACAGCTGATTTAGTAAAGCGCGGCGGTTCGATAGTGTTGTAAGCGAAAAGAGAAGTAAAAGCTTCGTTTCCCTGCGTGAGCCGCCGGAGGGAGCTGTGTGAGCGCTCGGTGCAGGGCCGCGGCGTTAAATGCGAGGGGTTTGTCACGTTTTATAACCTTTTTTTATCGATTATTGCCTGTAATAGGGCTAACAATTCTATTACTGTAGACTGTAGTCGATATATAATGCTCTTTTTTGTGCCTCCATACTCTGCTAACACATTTTCTTTTTATTTTTTTTTTAACACACCTTTAAATATTAATCACTGATGTAATCTCCCTGAGAGAGACTTACAGAAGTCCTTTGGATAAAGCAGGTATTTCTTGTTGATTTCAGTAAATTTCCAACTCCTTGATTAGTGGACACTTCAATATAATTCCCGGTTTTATGGGGAGTTGCAGCACTGATATCACACACTGCATTGATCTCCGGAGTTCAGGGAAATTTATTGTCTAATGTCACTCACTTTGTGCTTCCCCTCCTGCCTTCAAAATTCAGTAAGATATAAGGGAATTACAGCGCATTTACTGCTTCATTTAAGTTCCCTTTCCTTCTTTGGCAGATCGGGGTCCTTCTGAAAACTCTGCTTTTGTGCGTAGTCTTAAATTACTGCCTTTGTTTTTGTTCCCCTTCAGCGTGATGGCGGAGGATACGGCATTCACAATGATGGAAGATCTCTGCTTACACATCAACACGAAGATTTCAAATATTAAAAAGTCCTTTCAATTAAAAAAATTAGGTAAATTAGATTAACAGTGGGGTTCGGTTTGCACCCCACTTCAAGAAAAACATTGAGGGGCTGTAGAACGGAACGGAGCTGGGGAAGGGTCTGGAGCAGCAGGAGGGGCTGAGGGAGCTGGGGGGGCTCAGCCTGGAGAAAAGGAGGCTCAGGGGGGACCTTCTGGCTCTGCAACTCCCTGACAGGAGGGAGGAGCTGGGGGGGGGTCGGGCTCTGCTGCCAGGGAACAAAGGACAGGAAAAGGGGAAATGGCCTCAGATTGTGCCGGGGGGCTTAGGTTGCATATTGGGAACAATTGCTTCGTGGAAAGGGCTGTCCAGCCCTGGCAGGGCCTGCTCAGGGCAGTGTTGGAGTCCCCATCCCAGGAGGGAGTTAAAAGCTGTGTGGATATTGCACTTTGGGACATGGATTAGTGGTGGCCTTGGCAGTGCTGGGGAGTGTTTGTGCTCTGTGAGCTCTGTTGGCTGTGTGGAGCACGACAGTTTGACTTGCTGCTTCTCCTGGGTGGGAGGATATGGTGACTGGGGTGTGTAGACTTAGTAGGTAATCACTGCTTGTGGAGGGGAGGGAAATGGGATTTTGTTTGGTTTTTTTTTTTTTTGTTGGAGATTTTGCGGCTTAACATTCTCTCTTTGACAGATGAAGAAAAATGCCTCAGACTTGGTGTCCGTAAAATAGGAAAAGACTTGATGCTCTTGAATGATCTCCTGGATAAAATGGAAACTGAAGTTAATCAGCAAGAAAAACTGAAGAATTTGCTACAAGTAATATTTTTTTTGTTGTTGTTCATAAAATACTAAAAGATTCAAAGGAATCTTTGATAAGTGTGTAGTTGGGTTTTTTCCAGATCCTCAGTGATATGTTTGGATGCACGTTCTTAGAAGAGAAACTGGGGCTTGAAACAGCCTTACTGATGGTATATTAAGCAGTTCTCTAGCTAATGAACATTAATAATTTTATTTTTCAAGGTTTATACATGGAATCATAGAATCACAGAATGGTTTGGGTTGGAAGAAACCTTAAAGCTTATCTTTTTCCAACCCCCTTGCCGTGGGGCAGGGACACGTTCTACTGTCCCAGGTTGCTCCAAGCCCCATCCAAAACCTGGCCTTGGACACTTCCAGGGATCCAGGGGCAGCCACAGCTGCTCTGGGCAACCTGTGCCAGGGCCTCACCACCCACACAGGGAGGAATTTCTTCCTAATATTTAGTCAAAACCTTCCCTCCTTCAGTTGAAGGCCATTAGAAGCATGTCTTTATCACTGACCTTGAGAACATGTTTTTATGATAATAGATACCGTGATCTAAAGAGCAGTTCAACTTATAAATATTTCCAATAGCTACAAAAACTGTTTAATTAGAATATTTATCTATTCCAGTGTGTGTCTGCAGTGCCTTCATGTGTTCAGTCTCTGGGGAATGTAGGCGAGTGTGCTGTGGTATCTCTTCCTCACTACCACCATTCCCCTGCCCAGACCTTGCTAGTTGTGTATTGTTAAAGATTTGCATTTGCCTGCTCAAACTTCTCAGGCACTTTGAGGGCAAGGGCAGACACCCCTCGCTCTGTTTCTCTGAGCTTTACTACTTTCTTTTGGGAAATGATGGGGTAAAGAGGCAAGATGACAGGGAGAGAGCAAAGGACACCTCTTAATAAAGCTGAAAATTAACTTAAATTGCCCTAATTTTACATGTTTGACGTCGGTAGGTTCAGATTTCTGATGAAGTCTCTCATCAATTTCAGGAGCTCCAGCAGGCTGCTGAGAGAGATCTAAATGAAGCACAGCACCTCCTTGAACACATTCCTCCCCACCTGCCTAAGCCAACTCAGAACTGGTATGTGGTACATGAGCGTGGGGGTGTCAGGCTGCTCCTGACAGTGTCCGGGTGCAGCATTGTGGAGCTCTGCTCCTTTCACTCTGCATTGACTCTGAAATTTTGGGAGCCAAGGTTGTATCTATCGATTCTGGATTTTGCTCTTGTCCAGGCTCGTGCTGCCACCCTAAAAAATCCACCAGGTGAAGTCCATAAAATGGCAAGTTGTTCCAATGGAAGCTTCCAGCGGCAGGTGTGATGCAGTAGAAAGCAAGGGCTTCTATGGATGTAAGCACTCCTTGCTTTAAAATCACAAACACACTGATTTTATAACTGTAGTGCCTGTGGATTGAAGGGCAGGTAAATGATCCCAAAGCTAGGTCATTAGAACTGAAGTTCACCACTGGCCTTCCAAACATAATTAAAAAAAAA